CAACAGGGCGACTGGGTTGCCCTGATTTCATTTTTTTTCACCAATCCTCACGAGCAGCACCACCTGCCTCTGCCCCAGGCTGCAACACCCCCACTGCCACTGCCACTACCTACACACACACACACACACACACACACACACACACAGAGCAGCCGTCCTTCCAGAGTTCTCATGGTCTTGTCCTTTAGTTCCAGGATTTTGGGTTTCCTGTCTCAATTGACTCTGAGGGAAACAGGAAGTGGTTTGTGGGAATCCTCCATCTTGGCAGGAACTGGAACCTCAGCTGAGCCATGTGCAACCCTGGTGTATTTATTAGTCAGGGTTCTGGAGAGAAACGAGCAACAGGATGTGTGTGTGTGTGTGTGTGTGTGTGTGTGTGTGTGTGTGGAGAGAGAGAGAGAGAGAGAGAGAGAGAGAGAGAGAGAGAGAGAGAGAATTTGCTCACATGATTATGGAAGCTGGCAAGACTGAAATCTGCAAAGTGGCAGAGCAGCCTGGAGACCCAGGAGAGGCGGCGTTTTAGAGTGTGTTCAAAGGCTGTCTGCCATAGAATCAAGAAGAGCCAGTGTTGCAGATGAAGTTTGACAGCTTTCTGATGGAGAACTGTCTCTTGCTCATGGGAAGTTGCTATTTTTGCCCTACTTGGGTCTTCTACTATTTAGCGATGACCTGTCAACTTTATGAAGGGCGTTCCACTCTACTCAGATTCATGTACCTAAACATCAATCTATCCAAATAACCCGGAATGGTGTTTCATCAAATATTTGGGCACCCTGTGGCCCAGCCAGATCAACACACAAAATTAACCATTATTCTAAGCCTGGTCTGAGTTTCAACATCAGCCTCTTCTGAGAGCTTGTTAGAAAGGCATAATCTCTGAGCTGGGAATGTGACTCAGTGGTAGAATGCTTGCCCATGGGTGAGGCCTTGTTTTGATCCCCCCAGCACTGGGGGGAAAAAAGTAGAATCTCAAGCCCACTCCAGATCTACTTTTTAACAAAATACCTGCATTTTAATTAAATACAAATCTTTTCAATTCATTGAGCTAGAGCTTCACACCTGTAAACTAGATTATGTCAGAGATTCTCCACCCCTGCAATGCCAGCAGCCTAAAAAAAATACAGCAATAGCATAAAATGCTGCCTGGGCTCATCCTAACCAATTAAAACTGAATCCCTGGGATGGGTCCAGCATTCTGTATATTAAAAACCTATGCTGGAGAGTCTGTTGCCCACTGAAGTGCAGAATATCAAGAATAGTGTTTCTCAGACTGTAATACGCACACATGTCACCTGGAGATCCAGAGTGCAGATTCTGGTTCATGAGGTTTGGAGTAGGCTGGAGATTGCATTTTCAACATGCTCCGCCGAGTGATACGGATGCTGCTAACCTAGCATCTCTTCAGTTGCCCGGAGACACTAGACTAGGTAATAGATGAGGTCCTTTGCCATTCCGAAGTGCTCTGTTCTCTGTAAACCAGGACAGCCTTACAGATTCACGAAGGAGGGTTCCACCCAGGGTTATGACTCTTACCAGGAAATCTACCCAGGAAATAAGGCCTCTGCATTAGTTTTTGTCACTATGACCAAATACTTGACATAAACTACTTATGAAGATAAGAGGTTTATTTAGCTCACAGATTTGGAGACCCAAGGGCATGGTACTTGCATTGGCTCAATTTTTGGTGAAGTCCTCATGGCAGTTGGCAGATGGCAGTGGCAGGTGCCAGAGTTGGGGCAGGGTGTCATATCATGAGCCAGGAAGCAGAGGTGTGAGCAGGCCTGCTCTCATGTAACAACACTCTCCTGAGAACAGGCGAAGGGCTGGATGAGACTACCTTCCTCTCCTTCCAGGGCACACCCCAAAAGACCTAAGGACCTATTAGAGGTTCCACCACCTCCCCGTGCTGCCACCATATTCCTATTACATGGACCCTCGGGGGACACCCAAACTAGCAACTTTGTTCTCTGTGGCTTCTAGCAGCTTCTGCTCTCCTCAGGTCCAAGAGATTAGATGTCTTCCTTCGCTATTACTCATGTGGAAATGAGGTGTTTTTTCTATGACAGATTGGCTCTATAACCTGTGGCCAGGTACAAGGCTCTAGAAGACATTAAATGTGTCCTCTGTGGAGAAGGGAGATTAAGAAAGGTTACTAGCATCCGAATAACCTTATACAGTGGCTGAGGAACTTGAGTCACTTGTGGAACCGAATCCAAGATGGTTCTGCCTGAATCCTGGCTCGGCCCCATGTTGCAACTCCATTGAGTCCCTTTATCCTCAGCTGGGATAAATTTTTCTCAAATGGCTGCTGTCTCATAAGGACTTTAGTTTAAAAACTTTGTTGTAAAACTTAACTCATCCAACTTGAGTTCTAGGTGTTTTGTGCTAGGCTTTTTCCAAACTCATGCCTGCCTCAGGGCCTTGGCACCTGCAATTCCTTCTGTCAACACACTTTTCTAACTCTTCATGTTGCTGATCACTTCTTGTCATTCATCTCACGGCCTCAATGTCACTTCTTCCGAAAGGAAAACCACCCTTCTAAATGGTCTTTTTCATCTCAACATAATCCTGTGCCTCACACCTGTTTTAATGTCTTCATAACTTTTATGATTATGAGCATTATATAGTAGCATTATCTTATATATTGATTTGTTTTCTTATTAATTTTTCTGTCCCCTTGTCTCACCCCTACTACAGAGAGACTCTACATCTTAACCATCTTCGTATCCCCAGGATTGAACTAAGACATGCAGGAATACAAGTCCTGTGCTTATTAAATGGATGCATCTTCAATCTTTCACGGTACTTGGCTTAGTGTGTTCATTTGTCAAAATCTTTTTTTCTCTCCAACCAAAATGTGGATAGCAATTTTGGGTGCTCTCCAGAAAAACTAATTCATGGATAAGCATTACAAAAACAAGACACTGGGCAGAAATAGCATGGGACTCAGTTGGACTTAAGTTTGCATTCGTGGGGGGTAAATGTGAGAAATGTGAGGTCCTGAGCTGTGGAATATTTGCCAATCAGATTTGAAGAGCTCATAAAAAGTTCAGAGTAAGCTTTTGCTCATCCCCACCCGCCTGCTCTAAATTCCTCGTTGGTGCCCAGTGGCAAGCTGGCACGAAGCAGCCGCTGACGGCGAGGGGCAGAAAGCACCTGCCTTGGACCTCTGCCTTGCCCCACGTCTTAACACCTCTGGGAAGATGGCACCTCTCAGCACCTGGCCCAGGTTTTCTGCTCACCCCTGGCAAAGTAATCCAGGTGTGAAATGCCTGGGCTGCCACACAGGTAGGCAACAGACTTTCGGCAGAGGAGGCTGATCTGATGGAGGGGCAGAAGTGAGCCAGGGGCCAGCAGGACATTGTGCCAGGTGCGGCCGGGGACGGGACCTGGTCTCCACTGGTGTTTCAAGCCATCTTCTGATGGCTCTGGTTAGGAATTTTATTCCTCTCAACCCAACGCAGTTGGCAAGGTGGAGGGCAAAGTGATGTTTCCCTTATACTAACGCTGCCACTTCATCGGTCTCATGGGGTGGTCCACAGGCTCCTCCAGGTGGCCTTGGGTGGGCAGGAGGGAGGGGCAGAAGTTGGTGCCCAAGTTGCATCAGACTGAACCGCTTTCAAGGTCTGTTTTCCACTGCAGATGGAAGTTTCCATTTAAAACAGGCCAGGGTAAAGTTGTTAGTACAGAAAAAGATGCTGAGATGATTTTGTGCATGATGGGGAAGGAGAGCGTATCGGAGGATGGATGAAGGGCCTTGGCCTGGAGGTGGCTGCTGTAATTTTGGCTTCACCAAGAGGTCCCAGAGATGGGGTGACTCAGGCTGTGATTAAGAGGGGGACAGTGTTCCTCATGCCTTTCATTCTGGTGGACTTAATTAATCAAGTAGGAGTTGTGTGTCTGCTCCCTGCCAGGCCCCGAGCCCCTGCTGGGGAACAGCAACAACAGCTCAGGCCTGCTCAAAGTTGGTGGCAGATGTAAACAAGCAGCTTGCATAGCATTGTGATGCCGGTGGGGGCAGTGACCTCATTCTCAGCCAGGACCAGGGGTCTGGAGTCCAAAGACCCAGTGCGGGTGTCTCACCCACCAACTTCCAGATGGGGAACTGGAGGTCGACACATAAGCTTTGATTTTCTCAGTTATCACCTGAGGAAATGACATCTGCTCTGTCTGCTTTGTGGGTGTCATGAGGATCCAGTGAGATTATCTTAAAGCCATTTGGGTGTCCATGAGGAGACCTTTGGATTGCTGTTGGCACTATAAGAATGTGGTTCGGCAGTTTCCAACATTGGTCTCTCATTCTTCGCTGTGACCACGTGACACTATCTGTTATCCATGGGATGTGAAGATCTGAAACAAGCTAGAGATATACTCTGTCTATTATGGTAGCATCGTGTCCACAGGTAGCTAGTCTACATTCAGTACCTGTCATTAACAGGGATCGTCTGAACTGAGAGGTGTCCTGACAGGAAGGAAGGAAGGAAGGAAGGAAGGAAGGAAGGAAGAAAAGAATGTAAAATACCTCACTGATAATTTCTTATATTGGTTACACATTTAAATGAACATATTTTGGATATATTGAGTGAAATAAAATACATTATTTAGGCATATCTTGTTGATTTTTAAGTAACTACTAGAGGATTTTAAATTCAACAAGTGACTCACATGTTTTTCTTGAACAGTGCATTTATAGAGGCCATCTCTCTCTGGAAACATTGCTGTGGACTCAGTGCACATAAACATTCATACAACTTCAGGGGTACCACAGACCCCTTAAAGCCCCACCCATGTCACCCTAAAGTGACTATTGCAATGATTGCTTTCCACATACATTCAAAATGCATATACATAATGTTCCTGTGAAATTAGGTCACTTTAATGAGAACTATTACTGTGCATTTCTTTGCAGGAAACCATTTCCCCACGATTGTCACTACAGAGGCTGGGGGAGGACCCTGCCTTGGACTTTGCACAACATTCTCTGATGGAAAAAGGCAGATCTTTGCAGACAGATGACAGAAGCATCACTGCAGTGTGGGCTCAGATGAGGATGCCTTCACATTTCACTAATGAAGAGATTCGCCAGGTACCAGGTCAGCTACTGCACTTCCTTCCTATCCCTGAATCTTTCCCTTTCACAAGACAGAAGAGGAAACGAGTCCCTTAGGTCCCTCTTAGGTTCCCAATCTCCAGTCCACCTGCAAACCCTTTGGAGTATCATCCATGCATGTTTGGTCAGTTGAGGGAAAGAAGCCCCACACGGTTCAGAAGCTTCCCAACTAGGATTCAAAGGCTTTCCAGTGACAGTTTGTGGAAGAGGGAGGAAAACTCAGGAGAGGAGGAAGGAAGGTCGACACTCAGGCACGTGCCTCTCCCACACCTTTATTTTATGAGAGGCAAACAGTGGGGTTTGGATTTAAGAGATCTTTCCATGGGTCAGCTATTAAGTATCTCAGCCAGGGGTACCCACTGAAATAGAAGTAGCAGGAGGTATATCATTGGCTCTCCATATCTGTGGGTTCTGCATCTGCAGATTCAATCAACCACTGGACAATTTTTTAAAAATTGCAGCTGCACTGAACAAGTACAGACGTTTTCTTGTTATTACAACCTAAATGATACATATAACAACTGTTTATACAGCATTTACATTGCATTAGGCATTTTAAATAATCTAGAGATATTTTAAAGTAAACGGGTGGATGTGTGTAGATCTTATGCAAATCCCATGACATTTTGCATTAAGGGTTTGAGCATCTGCAGAGTTTGATGTTACAGTGGTGGGGAGGTGCTGGAGCCAATCTCCACAGATGCCCAGGATTGTGTGTGTGTGTGTGTGTGTGTGTGTGTGTGTGTGTGTAATGGGAATGGTCTCACACAATTCTGGAGGCCAAGAAGTTCTACAATTTGATCTGCTCTTCACAAGGTGAGATCCAGAAAAGCTGTTGGTGCAATTCAGTCTGAGTCAAAAGGCCTGGACAGTGGGGTCAGGGAAGGATGATGGTGTGGGGTCCAGTGGCTGAAGGCTTTGGAACCAGGAGCTCCAGTGGTCAAGGGCAGGAGAAAATCAATGCTCCAGCTTACAAGAGCAAATTCACCTTTCCTCCACCATTTTACTCTATTCAGCCTTTCCATAAATTGGACATGGCTCTTCCATGTTGGTGAGGGTTATCTTCTTTCCTTGGTCTATGGATTCTAATGCACATATTTCCTAGAAAACCTTTCAGACATGCCCCAAAATAATTTTACGAGCCATCAGGGCATCTCTTAGCTCAGTCAAGTTGACACATTAAAATTAACATCATAAAGGTATTCCCTGTCATTCCCGGGAAACTATCTTTTCATGAAAAAGTCCTACATATGCGTGACAGCAAAAAAGCAAAACCCCAAACAACACCAGTCTGTGGAATTTATACAGTTTGGGTTATGTATTAGTCAGCTTTCTGTGACAGTGAGAAAATACCTGAGAGAATTAACTTGAAAGGAGGAAAGTTTTGTTTTGGTTCACAGTTTCAGACCATGGTGATCTGACCCTGTTGCTTTTGGCCTGCTATGGTTTAGATATGATGTATCCCAGAAAAACTCAATCATGAGACAATGTGGAATGTCCAGAGGTAAAATGATGATATTATGAGAGTTGTGACCAAATCAGTGGATTGATCCACTGATGTGGCTTAACTTAGGCAGATGGGGTATGGCTAAAGGAGGCGGGTCACTGGGGATGTGCCTTTCGCTTTATATTTTGTCCCTGTTGAGTGGAGCTCTGTCTCTGCTTCTTGGTGGCTGTGTCCTGAGGGTTCTCCTTCCACCACACCCTTCCTCCATGATGTTTTGCCTCACCTTAGGGCCGGGGCAATGGAGTTGACTGTTTATGCACTGAGACCTCTGAAACCATGAAACCCAAATAAACTCTTCCTCCCTTAAGTTGTTCTTATCAGGTATTTTGGTCAGAGCAACGAGAAAGCTGACTAAAACAGGGCCTGCAGCAGGTGGGCCCTCACAGCAGGAAGCCTACGCAGAAGACACTGCTTACCTCACAGTAGCTGGGAAACAGAGAAAAAGGAAGTGGCTGGGGTCCCTAGGTCCCCTTCAAGGGCATACCTTAATAACGTAACTTCCTCCCCCTAGGCCCCACTTCTTAAAGGTTCCACCCTCTCTTAATAGTGCTATTCTTTTGGACCAAGCCCTCAACACATGGCCTCTGTGTAGTCAAGATCCAAGCAACAGCAGGTTAGATGTGGTTCCCTGATTACATCCACCGAAGAAGGGCTTGGATTGGGGTGTAACTTTCAATCTGGGGCTATTGAGAGCTTCTGAGCTGATGGATGAAATGCTGGAGTTGGCCGGCTTGTTGAGGAGTTTGCTGGTTGGCCTGTCTCCAAGCAGAAGCAGCAGACGGCTGCCCAAATTCTACAAGTGGGATGACCAGTGGCAACATAAAGGCCAAACAAACAAGAAAGGCTTTCTTTCTGAGAATGTTTCTACTGTAGTTAGGTTAGAAAATGATCCAGGGAAGAGATAAACTAGCCTTTTCATTTAGCAAAAATAAAATGCCTATCCACTTGGTCATCTGTGCAGTGAAAGTCCAAACCAGAATCTTGTTTTTAAAGGTTTTGTTTAATTTGCCACCCCCACCCCACCCCTCCCACTGCTTAACATCAGGCTGGGCAGGAGACAAGGGGAGAGTGTCACCTGATGGGGCCTTGTCAAGTGGCTTCCGTGTCATTTATATTAAAGAACCACGGGGAAAAGGTGAAGGGCTGATGACGGGAGGCATCAGCATTTCCGGGGGGTTTTGTTCCGGTTTTCATGAATATGGATGATGCACAGAACGTCTCGTTTTCAGAGCTGTGTTTTTTCATCAAACACCACCACTCTTCATGGGGAGGGAACTAGACACCCCCGACACATGATTTGGCAGGCCTCAATCATAAGTGCTCCAATATTGACTTTCAGAAACCCAATCCAGATTTGACTCTGACCTTCAAGCCCCATTCAGGTCACTGAGAAAGAAAGGTGCCTCTGGTCAAGCCCTGGGCCAGGTGCTGCTCTTTGAAAAACACTTGCAGGTTCTTTGTAGGGACCCTGGTGGAGGAAGGTGAGTTTGCTCTTCAAATGACCCTTCCTTCATTGCAAAAAAACACATGGAATGAAGTGCAAGAGGTGCTTCTGGTGTGCCCCAAGGGTGTCACACAAGCAAGGGGACCCAGAGGCCTCTGCAGGAGAATACTCTGTCTTTTCCCGGTAGCTGGTGGCACTTGTCAAATTAAAAGTGAAATTTGCCCTAAGGTTAAAATAGATTATGTTCAAAATAAGGTTAAAATAGATTATGGTTGGGGCTGTGTCTTCTCCTGAGTTGAGCATTTCACCACGCCTGGTTTGGAGAACTCCCTGCATCAGAATTGGGGAACCTCTTTCAATTACCGATTTCTGGGTTCCCAAACACCAGCCAAATATATGGGTGCCAGAGGCAAGAATGTGCATTGTACCAAGTTTCTGGGAAATCCTGATATACTCGAAAATTTGTCCCATTGAATTAAAAAAAAAAAAGATATATCTATCACAAGAAATTGTGATGGAGAAAAAGATTGGATTCTTTTGATGATATCCATGTAAACTTGTTTAGTTGTGTGTCTTGTGTGGGAAATTTTTGAGCCACAAAAGACAGGGACTACATTAAACCTTTGTTTTTGATGGTTATCATGTGTGCCTTGTCCTTCTGGAGTTAAGAATCATCATCTGCTTCGGAACTGTGGCCCTTTGGGGCAAGAACTTTGTCCTTCAATGAAAGTGATTGCAACAGGTTGATAAAAGAAAAGAAAAACAATAAAGCTGTTTAGTTGCAATTCTCTTTTCTCTGAAGTCAGTTTTTGAGTGATTAAAAAGAAAAGCAGCTTGGTGAAGGTTATGGTTCACCATTTTACACTACAGAACATCTTCGCTTCCTATTTATATGCTCATTTGTGCATGTGTCAGAGCTTCCTGGTCCTCAAAGGACCTGATTTCTGGGATTTATACTACACACAAACCTAGCAGGATGTGTCACCCAAAGCACTCTGACCCAGTGCTACACAGCAAAGAGTTCAGTAGAGCATTGTTTCCCAGTGAATTTGGGTGGATCAAATTACTTATTTTAGGACACAGTGAACTTTTTAGTTTTAAACTTTAGGATTATCTGATTAACTTAGGCAAGAATCTATTACATTGCACTGCAATGAAAACGAACAACTTCTCCCACTGAATAACAATTGGCCTTTAACCCAAGCAGCCCTTAATTACTACAAAACACCACAAATTCCCCTAACTGCTATATCTAGGCCTTACGTGAAATCAATAAAGGACAACTAGGTGCAGTATACATCTATAATCCCAGTCATTCAGAAGGCTGAGGCAGGAGGACTGCAAGTTCAAGACCAACCTGGGCAACTTAGCAAGATATTGTCTCAAAATAAAACAAAAGGTACTAGGGATGTAGCTCAGTGGTAGAGCACTTGCCTAGCATGTGCAAGGTCCTGGGTTCCACTCCCAGGACAGCAACAAAAAAAGACAACAACAACAACAAAAAATTCGATAAAACCAAATGAAGAGGCCAGTATTAAACCAAAGCCCTCAATGAACAATGGAATCTTTCAGCTCTCAAGGACACATTTTTTTTAATTGCCTAGTAAACCCAGAAATACGAGTGACCCAACTGAGACATCATAGTGACTACAGAAGATTACTTCCTTTACTTTGTGACCACAGAGAGTTTTGAAAGCGTGTAGACAAAAATGTGTTAGTTTTAGGGGTGATACATTTAAAAATTTTGCTGTATTTCTCGGCCAGGAGGTCATTGAAAGTCCAGCCATGATTCTAGATCATTCTCTCGGGTCCTTTTACAACTTCCTGGCTTCACCATAGTGATGGAGATCCACCTTGTTCATGATATGAAATTGTGTTACTATATGAAATTAGGAAGACAGGTACAAAGTGTGTGTGTATGTTTCCTGTTATTGATCTAGATGGGAATGAAAAACCCAGACTCAAGACAGTGCAGAGTTTGACCAGGAAATCAACATCAACTCTGCATTTTAATTAGAGGCTATTTAATCCA